AAAAAATTATCTCTTTATTACTACTCATTTTTTAAATTAAACATTTAACCTTAAATCTCTCTATTTTTTAGGCCACATGTTAACTTAAGTGGGCCATACAATGGTTTTTACGGCACCACATAATTAGAATTGGAAAGTTTCATCAATTTAATTAATGGAGTTGTATAGGGATAAATGAAAATGAAACAATTTTGAGAATTAGTAAATAAATTTGAGAAAAAACAAAGATTTTAGATTAAAATGAAAAAGAGAGAGTAATAGTTAATAGATGATTTCTTAAATTAAACCAAAAACATCAGAGCCTCATCGAATTTCCCTTCTCTTATCCCTCCGTTCTCCAAGCTGCTGGTCTCCAATCCAATGCCTCTGGCTGTCCGAAGATCGCGACAAGATCCCCAGAAAATGTGTCAATTTTGGCGGGTTGGTTGAAGGGTGAGGATGTAGAGGTGAAGATCGAACGGTTGCGATGATTGAGTTGAGTGTCTTGTAGGATTTTTCTTCGTTCTTGCATAAATAGGGGAGAGAATTCCGGTTAGAAGGGGGGCACGGACGGATGGCAGAAAAAAAGAAAGAAGATGGTAACAAAAAAAACAAAAAAAAGGAAAGAGGGAGGGGATACACCAAAGAAAAAGGGAGAGAAATTCTAGGGTTGGAGGGGTGACCCATTCTGGAGGAGAGGCAGAACATGAGATTTGAGAGGCGGTTCCCGGCGGACTCACTGGCCACATTCCAGCGTCGCCCACTACATCTGATTTCACCTCCTTCCTTTGGTATTTCCCTTAAAACAGAGAGCAAAATGCTACCTTAAGGGCTTTGCTTCGGGGACTGGTCCAAAATGGACCACCCAGGAGCAATCGACCCCAAGAAGTATGAACCTATATGTTTACATTTTTGCAGGCTCTAGATCTAGTTGTATCTTAATTTTTTTGGATTGCTGCAGTGGTATGAATCTTCATGTACTGGATTTGAATGCTTTAATTGAAAATTTACAGCATTCTATGCTGTTCCTGTGCAAGTCTAATTTTTTTTTTTTTTTTTTTTTTGGTTTCTGGCTTCAATTGTATTTGGATGAATGTTGTCGGATGCTTCTGGGTTTGTTGGGCCTGGTTAGATTTTATTTGTACGAATGGGGTAGTGTTGAATCTTTGAAAGAAGAATCCAGAAAAACCTAAAAATCTGCGTTTTTGGATCTGTTTCAACCCGAATGGATGTACTGGGCTAAGTTTTTGGATAGGATGGACCCGTTTGGGTTAACCCGTATCTCTGTAGCTTGCTTGGATGGGTTCTGCCTTAAAAATGCCATTTGGACTCAAGTTAAAAACAATTATATGTTTTTGGGCGGGCTTAAAAGCCCAACAGGTGGCCCAAATGATTTCATGAAATGAAATTTGAATTTTCTGTTCATTTGCGAAAAAATATTAAAAAAATAAAAAATGATGATTAATTAATTAATTAATAAGTTAATCAAGGTTTATTTTCTTAATTAACCTTGACAGTCAACTGTTGATACGATCAATAAGTCAAAATTATAAAACTTTAAAAATGTCTTCAATTTGGGTTTTAATTTTATGCAATGTAATCCCTTATTTTTAATTGTTTCCATTGGGTCCAAAAACTTTCATTCTCACTTTCATATCCATGCATGTTTCGTTTGTTTCATTGAAGTCCTACACTAAAAATAAAAATAAAATTACAAGGTGAAATAAACTCTCCAAATGTTAATGAATGAAACCATAGTTTCTATCAAAGATTTTGAGACGTGCGTCTATCATTTCTCACTCTAACTGCACTTCCAAATCCTGATTTCTCATAAACCAGTAATAACTAATAAGCTGTTTTATCATTATTTCGCTAGGGACGACTTTTTGTTTTACACATTTTTTACACTTAATTTTCAAATTTTCATTTCTATGAATTTTAAGTGGGTCATCTAACACTTACTCTTCGTATGAAAGCTCAAAGCTAGTCCTCCTTCTAGAGGCTTGAATTTCTTCTTTTTAATCTATTTCCTTACAAAATCATTAAAAAAAAGAATGTAAAAGAGAGTAGTTGAAGTTGTAAAATTAAAAATTTTTAATATTTTTTTCTATTTTTCTTTAAAATATCTAATATTTATTAATTATTTTATAAAAAAATTATTCAATTAATCCAATAAATAATAACTATTTTAAATTTTAAATTTTATTTTTATTTAAAATGTAAAATTAAAAGAATATTTAATCAATATTTTAAATTAAAAAAACTAAATTAATTTTAGTTATGTCATTTTAGATTCACTTGACCATATCTTAACTTAATTCCATTAGAATTAGGTGATTTCATTTTGGATTATATTGAGCTTCTACTTGAACCCAACCCATCATAGATGGGGGTGGGTCAGATCTTTGAGGTGAGTCTAATTTTGTCAAGTCTAGATATATATATGGAAAAAAATTAAATATTTATCAATTGTACTTATAAAAAATTAGACAAAAAATACTTTAAAATCATGCCATTTTAATGAATTCCCATAACTAAAACATCCTAATTTTTAAATAAAATTAGACTATTTTAGTTCTTTATTATATATATTTATATGTATATACTAATGTAGCAATTTTGTTCTAAATTAAGAGATCGATTGTTAGAAATTTTGAGAAAATTTATTTTCGAACAAATTTTTTATCTAATAAATGTTTAAATTTATAAGAATTTGCACAAAAGAATTTGTTTTAAAACGTTTTGCCAAAAAACCTATATCAAGCAACCCCTAAACGTTGTCTCAAGAGTAGAATTCAAGATCCAAAAGCAGGTCGATTATAATTAGCATGAAGAGCTAGATTTATAGGTGGAATTGGATCTCGATCTCAAATGGGAAGTGTTGACTCAATGTACTCCAAGAGGGGATGGTGAATTGGAGTTCCAAAAATTCTCTCATTTTGCAACCACAAAACCAAAGTTAAAGAGCGTAGAGAAGAAGAGTTTGCACAATGAATTTATAGAGGTTCGGTCCAACCACTTAAAGTCTAATCCTCTGCCTTAGCTTCACTCACCAAGGATGTCCTTCGCACTCTTCACTAATAAAGACAAGGGTGGCTTAAAGGCGCCACTCAATCTTTTTACAAGAAGATGAGTATTTCTCTCAAACGTCACCCCTTTACAATGTAAATCTTAAGAATCCTCTCAATAGATCACTCTTGGAGGAATAATTACATCCCCAATAATATACACTAATAGAACAAGAAGAGGATTACAAGCAAGATCACTCAAAGATCAAAAACTCAAGTTAAAGCTTAAGTAGGTAGGTAAAGATATTTAATGCAATGTTCTAAAGATTGTTTCAGATCTGTTACCAATCATATTAATAGTCCCTTGCTCGAAAATAGCAGTTTCTAGTCGTTGGGGGTCATTAAATGCTTTGCAGGACGCAAAGCTCGAGTTGTAAGATTGTCAGGACAGCCAGCTTAACTTCCTAGAGCTGGCTCTATACAACCGGCTCTATACAGCCGGCTTACCATTTCTACAACCGGCTTTATGGGATCTTGCACATTCTGTTTTCTTCATAGAGCCGGCTGCAAAATGCAAAGCCAGCTTTGCGAGTTTGCTGCACGTTCTGTTTTCTTGGACAGCTGGCTGCAAAAACGTAAAGCTGGCTTTGGTATTCTGACTTTAAAAATATTAATTATTTTTCAAATAAGTCGACCGTTATGCATTAAATGCATCCTTACAGCCGGCTGCAAAGTTGGAGCCGACTTTGTGTCTTTTCTCCACGCGCCAAACAACGATCTTCAAATTTTTGCTCGTAAAGCCAGCCACAGCTTCTAAAGCCGGCTCTCTGCTTTCCACAGCCCGCTGCAATCTTCTTAAGGCGGCTTTCTGCACTTCTGTTTCACAGAGCTGGCTGCAGGTTTCAAGAGCCGGCTTTCTGCACATTTTCAATCATTTTGGTCTATTTTTAGTGCAGTCCAAGTTTACTTGCAATTTTTTAGCAATTTAACCACATACTTAAATAAACCAATTAGTCACTCAAATGTGTTTTATAATCATCAAAATTATAGGTACAACAAGAAGATCCGGCTTCAGATTGAGGTGATGCACGATACCTTGGTGATAGGGAATTAGAGTTTCTACCAATATTGATTTTGCCAAAACATTGAAAATAAGAATATTTGTGAAATCAAGCATGCCTTCAAAGAATGGATAAATTCAAGTTGACAGAGGTTAAACTAGTTGGAATTTGGGAAAATAATATATATGGATTCATACCTTAATTAAATGGTTAGCTTCTTTCTTTGTTTGAATTAGGGGTAGGCATTCGGGTGGGTAACCGAATGGTTACCTAGAAACTGAACCAAAAAAATAAATTTCGTTTGGTTTCAATAGTTTTTGAGTTTTAGTGTTTTGATATTAATCGAATAAATTTTAGTTTAATTTCGGTTGAACCTTTTACAAACCAAAAATAAAAAATAAGCCTCTTGAAAACCAAAATTTGAATAACTATGACAAAATATGATAAAATATGAGATAAAATATAATCTATTATTAAAAAAAAATTGATTAATATTTATTTAGTAAAAATCGAAACCAAACCGATTGGTTTGTGAAAACTTCGGTTCAATTTTGATTTTCAAAATTTTTTTAAAAAATTTCAATCATTTTAAAATCGGTTTCGATTTCAACCGAAACCAGTTTTTGCCCACCCCTAATTTGAATAATCAGCAAAAGGCTATTGGGAAGGATCATCCATCAGCCAACA